CACTGCTCCTTGTCCTATCACGACAGGCCCTGCTGAAAAGTCTGTCCCCATTTTTCTTATAAGCCCCCTTTAAGTATTGAAAGGCCACAATAAGGTCTCCCCGGAGCCTTCTCTTCTCCAGGCTGAACAACTCCAACTCTCTCAGCCTGTCCTCACAGGGGACATGCTCCAGCCCCCTGATCATTTCTGTGGCCTCCTCTGGACCCACTCCAACCCCAGAGCTGGACACAGCACTCCAGGTGGGGTCTCACCAGAGCAGAGGGGCAGAATCACCTCCTTCAACCTGCTGGCCACACTGCTTTTGATGCAGCCCAGGATGCGACTGGCTTCGTGGGCTGTGAGTGCACATTGCCGGGTCATGTCCGGGTTTTTTTTGACACTCCATCTTAAATCACTACTACTCTAGATTAAAGGCAAATGAAAATATATCTCTCTATCTGCAGTCCTAGCCATTTAAGGGAGCAACTAAACTGCCCAAATGCAGGCACCTTAGAGTCCTGTACGATGTCCTAGACAAGGTAAATCCCTAGCCTTAGAGGCGAAGTACACTTTCTGGAGCAACAGAAAGGACACCCTTTACGCTCAGAATGATCCAATGAACACGGAGCTGAATCCCAGGCCTACTTCAGTGCCTCCAAATTTCAAGCTAAAACACAATTACTCCAATAAACCAGATGTTCCAGTTAACCTGTGTCAGTTATTCTGATTTGAACAGAACAATTTTACAAGTGCTAAATTCAAAGAGACTTTTTTTCTTTTTTGCCAAGGAGGCATTTTTGTCTGATCACTGGAAACATGTGGTGCCCAATTCAGCTCCCAGTTACACAGCTGCACTAACTGTGCTTGCATCCACCGAGCCAGAGCAGTTAGACCTGAAGAACAGCAGTGACTTTGCAATTCTGAATATTCCTACTGGGGATACCAGATGCCTTCCCCAGTCGGCAAAACCCAGTTTGCATCACCTGGCCCTGTTCCTGCGCCACTTCCCAAGCTTGGGTTAGCAGCGCATCACACACAGCCTTTCTGTTCAAGCACTGGGGCTGAAGAAGAGGCATCTATCCCTGGCGAGCCACACTTTGTCTCCCTTGCATACAGCAGCACCAAAACTTGTATAAAAAGCCCATCAAAAGCCAACCAAAAGGCAGGAGCTTTCCACTTCAGATTAAGACACTACCCTCCCCTCAAAGTACATGAAACTCTGCACAAGCTTTGTGCAGCTGTACATGAAGCCACTGCCTGTCTCCTGTGAAGAACCAACCCCTGATTTTCACTGGCATGCCCATTTCTTTGAGAAACAGGAAGAGACGCTGGGGAACGGCTGTCACACTCTCCCAGCAATGCTCTGGGTGTAGACTTTACCAGGCAATGCTGCCCAGTACAGGGGAGGGATGGTGACATGAGTCTTTCACAACATTCTACAAATATGGTTCTTTTACCAAGTCCCTCAGCAGAGAAGATGCATGTTCAGACTTATCTGAAGGATACGGTTAAGAAGACAATTGTTTTGAGCTCAAAAATCCTCAATATTTCCTCTGTATTGTTTTTCTTCTCACAGCACAACAGAAGCAAATTGCTGCAGAGGAAAGACCATTTATTTCCATTAAGAAGAGGGAAGAACATTTTTATGATTAAAACTTCAGAAGCTACGTTGCCTAAGACAAATTATATGGGTCCAAGATGTTCATGCTTCAAGGCAGAGCCCAACCACGAACCAGTATGCATCAGAAAAACTTCTGTGGATCATTCCAAAACCCTGGTTGCCGTTTCACCCAAATGACCTTGCCCACCTACATGCCCCAACCCCTGAATGTTGCTATTTGTCCTCATGCTTCCTCATAAAACTACTATGAAGTGACTCCAACCACAACCCTACAGAGAGTGTGCACACACCAGAAGGTTTGTCAGCTCTTACTCTGTAACAGCAATTGTACCTGCTGTACATTTTCAAATCATGCAGAGCATTCATTTCAACCCTTGCGGAAGCCCCACTGCAGCAATTCAGAATGTGTATACAAACACGTTCAACTGCTAGAGATTTACAGCTGTTTGAAGATCCAGTTCCTTTGTTTTAGCCTTGCTATAAAACAAGACCTAAAACACATGCTCCAAAAAAAAACGTTCAAGGTCCCATTCTACCTCACCAAACTATTTGAAGTTTATATTTTTAAACTGAGCAGAAATCTATGTGTCATAAATTGTATTTTTAGAGCCTGGAATGGGCAGTGACTACTGTCCATCAGCACCTTGGTTTGCAGCTTGGCCTATCCTAGTTAAAAGTACACCAAAAAAGTGTGGGTTGTGGTTTTTACTTTCACTTTACCTGTTCCGACAGTACATTCTTTCTTAATTAGTAATACTTCTATACCATTCAGTAATTACGTACTGTACTGGAAAAAGCAGTTGGGTCCCTTTTTCTCCCTTCATCCGAGACACTTTGTCATCTCGGCTAAGTGCAACTGACAACTTAGCGGAGTAACATTTTCAGTGACAAACAATGGATGAGAATGAACGCAATCCCAACCTCTAAGCCTTTAAGGCTTTTCCTTCATTCAAACTTCACCCATGTATCATCTCTACCACTTTTTTCTCCTTAGCTTATTGCCCAAGGCCCGATTGTGAAACACCGTAATGCAATTAACTGGATGTCATAATGTCACTGAGCAGCTTTCCAAATATTAGGCAGGACTTCTCGCCTGCCTGCCTTATTAGGTCTTACAGATACTTCTGTTGTTACCATTTTTTACTATTGATACTGGTAGGTCTAGCCTAGAGCTATTTAACTCTGCAAATTGCTGAACCTTCTCCCTATTAATGTTTAATAGCATTATTCTACTGACCTAAATGGTACCGTACAGCTTCAATTACATCTGCACTTGTTTCCTTGCACTATATTGCCCTAGCCAATTTTTACAAGTAATTAAATCCTTCATCAACCCTGAAATCACAGATTGCACTGTACAGAGTAGCTTCATTCCTAAGCTTTAAAAACTTACACAACATCACCTTGATGCAGATTTTTATTAATTTTCTAAATTAATTCCAAAACGGTTTGTTTGGGTTTTTTTCTGGTCAAATTCTTTGTAACTGTCTTTCACACAAACTTCTGATCAAATATAACCCTTCCCTCCTCAACGTGCATCTTGAACTAATTCTAGTTGGTTAGAACAATAAGCAAAACACAATCTCAGTTCAAATAATGCATTTTCGAATTAAAAGACAAATGAAAACAGATATTGTCTACTTAAAAATAGCAACTCCTTCCAGTTTGTTTTACCGTGCTTAGCAGTTAACTATGAAAAATATTTTTGCTTTCATGGCCCAATATATTTATTCCCTTGCAGCCTTTACTAACCAGTGAATTTATCTTTTCAGTGAGAATTTTTCATATTGCAGCATTAATGAAAACATTTCATCATTTTTAAGGAAACAGTAATAAAAAAACTCAAGAGGATTCAAACTAGGAAGTCCAGGGATAATTTCAAAGTTTGGGGTTTTTTTACCACAAGGGAAGAAGAGATAATATAACTTTTTTTCTTGATTGAAGCTGCAGTTTTGGTTTGTCATTTCCTATATATAAATCTTCAGCTTCCTCAACCACTTGGTTGTCCCCTAAAGCATTTCTTATTGATTCTATTATATCAATCACTAGAGGCTGATCTAAATAGTTTCAGTTCTTCTTTCAGTTCTTCTGTTATTGCTATTCTGGATTTTCCTTTTATGTAAGCGGGGTTTTAATAACTGACTAGCTTTTACAGTATCCCTCTAGCAGCAGAGTTGAGAGAGCAAAACTTCTTTGAAAATAAAGACATTATTTGGTCTCATTAGTGTCATTACTTACTTCTCTCTGACAAAATCGCATAGTTAACCCCAGATAGTCAGTACCACTCCAAATCTGTTGGTAGCTCTGGATGTAATTTTCAAAGGAAAGAACTGAGGAAGGGAGTAGGAAATAGTGTTATTGCCACTCTGGAGTAGAAAACTATAACTATTATAAAGGTGATCTTAACACAGCAAATCTCAAAAGAAGTGGTGTTCATATTCATTAAGAATGTGCAGCTCCTGAATTATAGCCTGAAGCTTTCCTGCAACAGCTTTAAGGTCCAGAACCACCACCTACAACTCTGACATTCCTGTGAGAGGCCTGGGTTATACGAACATTTATTTGGTTTAGGTCTTTTGTAGTCAGTGGAGACGAACAAGCTCCATCAGGGGATGCCTCAGGCTAGGGTAAAACCAGGCATATGTGATTAATATTAGTTTTTAAAAACTCTTCAGTTAGGATGCTTGAATTAACTGGTAGGTGCAAAGGAGTCATGATGCTTAAACACTGTGTAGTGTTAGCCAGTTGACTTACAAACTAAGCATGGAAGCACGACTGTCTCCCAAATAGTCTGCAGACACACAGCTCCCATGAGATTATTCTGTTAACTGTTTTCTAAAATCAAAAGAACATGCTCTTGTAACAGCAGCAAAACGCTAAGAGTAGGTAACAGAGAGCTTTCCCTTGTTGTAACTGGGGACAATACAAAAGATGAAAGAGATGACAAAAAATTCTTAAGAAGAACAATTAAGAAGTGAGAAGGAAAATCTTTTTGAAGGGATCATGCAGACACACCATGCATAATTCAAAAGCGAAGACACCAAACAGTCAGTGAAAAAGCAGAGCCATGAAAATACTGCCTCTGCGGCGGGACAGAGCTGATGATACCAATTTTAAAGGGAAGTTGTGTATTTTTCCTCTCTAAGAGATTTGCATCAGGTCTAATACTGCAGGAAAGATGCGCTTTCCTCCACCACAGGCAGAGCATTTCTGAGTGTACAGGTCGCAGTATGCTGTAGTAACTCCCAATTCCTAGGATCAGCCACAAAGACACCATTTCACTTCAACCAAACTGGGAGACGAGCATCACTTTGAAGCACAACAAAGAATCTAGTCTACCTGGCCATCATCTGGTGAATTTATTACTATTCATACATTTATTTTCTGTACATTTTCTTACCTTATATTCTGAACCGAGGGATTTAATGTTTCATCCGGAACATTACTGGTTACAGCTGCATGTCCTTCTGTGAGGGACTGCAATGGCTGCATTACATGAACTGTCCGAAAAAGCTGAGTGGGATGTACTGGCTGCGGAGATTGCATTGTCCTCAAAACTTCTGAAGTCAAGCCAGGTGTCTGCTGCTGCACAACTTCTACATGCTCCTTCAGCTTAGCAGGCTTTGAGTTTCCTGTTTTTAGCACTGTGGTTGATCCTCCCTTTGTTCCTGCATTTGCAGAAGCTCTAGATCTGCTCGACTGGTTTCTGTTGGCCACAGGAGTTGAAAGCAGAGCTGAATCCGATGATTCAGTGCTAGGGCTTGCATCTTCGTCATCTATATAGACGAGATCTTTTGGCATTTCTTTAAACTGATATACTAGGCGCTGACCTTCTACTTTAGCCAGTATTCCTCTTTGGTAATAGTATCTGTTTAAAGTGTACACACAACAAGTTACACAGTGTTTTTTGCCAAAAACCAACCAAAAAAAAAAGGCTACAAAACTCCCAGAAAATGAGATCAGCAGTAACAAGTAAACAATATTTTAAGTGCCTATTTTCTTCATTATAAAGGAGTAGCAAATTTAATAGCGTAACTTCCTCAAGCAACTTTCTTCTACGGGTATTTCTTGTCACCTTTTAATTTCAACCTCACATAACTCTGAGGAGGAAGATAAGAACTGCGTGAACTGGCAGCTCTGCTATCAACTCATACTCTTTAGAAGTTGCATGAAACTTCTAATTCTCCTCTTGACTTATACAGTTATTTCAGTTACCTGAATTCATGCTTGTTCACCAGTCAGCACAGGCAGATGTTTTAGCTACAACAAAGCAAAGGGAATAGGACAGCAGAGCACTACTTCTGTTATATTTGCAAATTAATACGACAATTTGAAATTACGCACAGCAAGGTGAGGGGTGAAGAGAAACGGAAAGAAATGCATAGCTGCCAGCTGGACAATTATCAATCAGCAGGTAAGACTGAAGCTTTGTGCACGTGTGCTTAGTTTGCACAGTCTTTTATGTATGACAAAAATCCCAGCGCCTCACAGGCAGAGGGACATGATAAGATGTTTTAAAACTGTCTGTATATGCAAGTTCAGAGAAGTGCAACCAGACATGAATTCTAAAACTGTACCCTCCACTAGAAATGCGATCATTTGCAACAAGTAGAAATAATTTCATTAATACACCTGAATTTAAGATTTTTTTTGAGAAAGGAGATACAAATTTTATGTAAAAGTCTTGCCCCACTTGGAATCTTCATTCTCTTACTTCGCCTGTGGCTGACTGTGAAGATGCAGTTTTTGCAGGAGCACTGAAAATGTCTGACCTGAGACTGAAGGTGACTGACTTGGGGTTGAGGTTATAAGGGTTACTTTTAGTTAGCTTATTTATTTTGCTGAAATAACTTCTTCATTTCCCAAACTGACAGAATACTAACTCTTCTCTGTTGTTGCACAAATCAGATGAGGCATTCAATGCACGCAACAAAAACAGTCTGTTATTAAAAATGGACATACCTGAGAGCTCTACCCATTGTTTCGTAATTCATGTCAGGCTTGTTTTTGTGTTTTCCCCACAACCTGGACACAGCCTTGGAATCTACCAGTTTGAAAATGCCCTTCTCTCTTTGAGTCCATTTGATATATTTAGGACACGTAGCTTTGTCCTGGAGCAGTGCTAGTAAGAACTCCCAGAGATAAATTGTATTTCCTAAAAGAAAAGTATTTCAGGAAACAGGAAAAAAAAAGAAGAAAAAATATTAGTTGACCGTATGTTATTAATTACGTAAATAATCTAAAAATTAAGAAGGTGGTGTCTGTACAAATATACTAATACACTATCAAGACTAGGAAATAGTGATGGAAGGGCATGGGAAGGGATTCTTCCTACTAGTTGTTTTAATCTGGGTGCCCAAATACCCTAGCCACTGTTTGTAACCTACAGTCAGGTACCAGCCAACCTACAATCAACCCGTTCCAACCACTAACGTTAGACAGCATTAGTCACCGATGTGTACGCTTCCCTCCTGCCTAATCCAGTTACAGAAGCAGTTACTATTGCTTTACTTCAAACAGAAACACATTCAGGTCCATCCTCTGAAAATTCTGGAAATTAAGCCCTTGCTTAAATATTTTGCTGATTTGAGGGGAGTGTTATTTGGGGTTGTTCAGCCTGGAGAGGAGAGGGCTCCAGGGAGATCTTAGAGCGGCCTTCCGGTACTTAAAGGGGGCCTACAGGAAAGGTGGGCAGGGACTCTTTATCAGGGAGTGTAGTGATAGGACGAGGGGTAACAGTTTCAAACTGAAAGAGGGGAGATTTAGATTAGATATTAGGAATTAGTCCTTTATTGTGACGTGGTGAGGCACTGGAACAGGTTGCCCAGAGAAGTTGTGGATGCCTCCGTCTCTGGCAGTGTTCAAGGCCAGGTTGGATGGGGCTTTGAGTAACCTGGTGTAGTGGAAGGTGTCCCTGCTCATGGCAGGGAGTTGGAATCATAGAATACCAGGTTGGAAGGGACCTCAAGGATCATCTAGTCCAACCTTTCGAGATAAAAATATAGTTTAAATGGTATGGCCCAGC